TGAGGCCAGGAGTTGGAGACCAGCCTGATCAACATGGAGAAACCCTGTCTCTACTAAAAATACAAAATTAGCCGGGTGTGGTGGTGCATGCCTGTAATCCCAGCTACTCTGGAGGCTGAGGCAGGAGAATTGCTTGAACCCAGGAGGTGGAGGTTGCAGTGAGCCGAGATGGTGCCATTGCGCTCTAGCCTGGGCAACAAGAGCAAAATTTTGTCTCAAAATAAATAAATAAATAAAATAAAATAATGGCTGTTCAGCAGAGAAACCCATTTCCTCTCTCCATAGGGCCTGTTTTACAATGATGTAAAAATTAGGTCATGTTCATTTTCATATTAGACTTTTTGTTAAATAAACTTTTGTAATAGTCAAAAAAAACAGAAAACAAAAACACAAAAAACTTTTCTCAGTTACCAAGTGTCTTTTTCGTTTGTGGTTGGTTTCCTGAGTAGACATCAGGACAGTGTCTTGTCCGGGAGCCCAGTTTGCATAGCCTGAAATTAGGCCCCTAGTGACCTCTGGATAAACAGAGAGTACTGGGTTTCTGAACAAGCAATCTGCAGAGTATGTCCTGGTCACTTGGAGATGCTGTTGGCTGTCTTAGAAGGTACCTGGGGAGACCCTCCGTATGGCAGACATTGAGTGTCCCTCTTGCCATTTTTTATCTGTAGGAGTCATTCTCCATTTTGTACCTGTGAGGAGTCAGAATCTCAGTTAAGTGATTAGTCTGGGGTTATCAAACTAGTAAATGGAAGAGCCTGGACTAGAAATAATAGCTGATTTTTAAAATCCACTTTTCTCCCTACTGTATTCTGTTGTCAAACTTGTAGTTTCATTTTTTGGTCATAGTTTTCATTGTTACATAAATGTGGATTTATTTCTTTTCATTTTTTTTTTAGGGAAAATTTTTTCTGGAAGATCCTACTGGAACAGTACAACTAGACCTTAGTAAAGCTATATCCTTCACTTGTCTGTATTTTTTAAAATCTGCATTATGTGAATTGGGGAAATTGATTATATATCCTTCTAAAACTTACCTATTTGGGTTCTCAATGTAACTTCTCTATGTTGCTGGTATAGGAATATAGAGATATAATCCTAAACAGAGACAGAACAACTTTAATTTCCTCTTATTTGAAGAATCTAGACGAATGACTGACGAAGTTTATATCATGGTAAGAATGATCCACCCTGTCAATATTACCAAGAATTAAACATGAGGACATTTAAACCTAAATTTTTTAAAGCTGTTTCTAAGCTGTGGTCTATTCACAGTTTCAAATGGGAAGTCTTTGAATTTATTTTTTAGAAGCCTTGTTGGTCTCAAAATGTATGTTGACTTTATTACTACCTCAAGAATAGAATTATTTTCCTCAGCTGTTGTATACCAGTTCCATAGTGGTTTATACACAGAGGCATGCTTTGTCTTAGCAGAAGGTAAGTCAGTATACTTTGTTACTGTCCTCCTCATTCTCCAGTAAAACTATTTCTGCTTTGGGTAAAATATGTTAACATGATATAATTTGGGATACCATTAATTAGAAGAGCATATTTTTGGCAAAATAACTCTTAGACTGTTAATGGGCTAATAGATATCTTTTTGGGGTGATGAAAATGTTCTGAAATTAGATAGTAGTAATGGCTACACAACTTGTGAATATACTAAAAATCACCAAATGATACCCTTTTTTTTTGAGACAGAGTCTCACTATGTCACCTAGGCTGGAGTGCAGTGGTGTGATCTCGGCTCACTGCAACCTCCGCCTCCTGGGTTCAAGTGATTCTTATGCCTCAGCCTTCCGAGTAGCTGGGATTATAGGTGCATGCCACCATGCCTGGCTAATTTTTTGTATTTT